TTCCCCTTCCCCTTCCCCTTCCCCTTCCCCTTCCCCTTCCCCTTCAAATATCGGTCTGCCTATAACAATGCCATGCAGAAGTTTATAAGCGTTTGTTTATTTTGCTATTAGCTTCGCCCTTTTGCTAGTTTCTTATCTATGAACATTTCTAAAAGTTTTGTCACAAAGTTCGTTGACTAAACTTTTGCTATAATCCGTGCGTTCATCTACCTTTTAATCTGCTAAATACTAGCATACGTATGTATGTACACATACATGCATATATGTGAATATTTGTATGTAAATTAGGTTGGGTCGGGAACAAGTTTGTAACAATCCTTTTTGTTGGAAAGCTTATTTCGCGAGAATTGTGGCTTAATAAAAATTTCCGCCCTAGCCACACGTTAAAAGCTGCTAAAATCCAATTTTTTTTTCATAACATGTTTATTTACGACCCGATTTCAAATAACGATACATTGTGGGAAATGGAGTTTTGACCACACTGCTCTAAATGACTTCCTTCGATGAGTAAAGTCAATTATCTCAATTTCTGCCGTACTATTTAATGACGGGTTTTACCAGCAATTTAAATGGAAAATGATTTTTTTTGTCAATTTCCATATAAAATTCAAAAAATTAAAATCATTTTTCACTTAACTTGCTTTCGTGAAATTGGCTGTAATTCTATTAAATTGACAACAGAGACATTTATATATGCTTTTCCATTGTTATGGAGAATACATGAAGTTGGCTTTTTTGCGCATGGGAAAAGGGGAATTTTCACAATACCATGCTCCTCTCAAAGTAAGTTATCAAACTAGGCAGATAATTATAAAATGTTTTCTTTCGGTAGGGGCTGACCAGATCTAATATACATACATACATACATACGTATCTATTCGCATGCTTTGAAAGACAAGGGATTAAAGGGCTTTCGTGGCTTTTGGCTAGACAACTTCAATGTTACCCGCATCTGTATTTTTATTGCTTCAACTTATTGTTGTTTTTTTTACGATCATTAATTAAATGATCTTGACTGCCATTGGTCATTAAGTTGAAGTACTGATTCTACTCAGTGACAGGATTTGGAAATGATGACCGTAATTTAAGTAATTGCCATACACATATGAATGGATGAATATGTTGTACACAGTGTGCATTACACACACTTATGAGTGTATGTATGTATGTATTGTATATACAGAGTTGCTGGTAGTGCTGTTGCTTTCTTCCCATGGAAAATTATCTTAAAGCATTCCCTGCAGATATAACCGATTATCTATTGTACACACATAGGTATCTATACACACATTAGAGTGGTAATTTTTTTCCCCCAGAAGACGAATATCGAAAATAAGAAGACCCGTTTTTCTTTTTTTTTAATTGGTCAACATTTAATGGTCTTTTCCATGCATTTTATATGGGGAAAAATGTAGATTTTTTCTTAGAATAGCTGTGAAATCGTTAAAAGTAAATTTTTTTGATGAATTTAAAAAATAAATATATTTTCTCCCAAATTTTTGTGTTTTCTTTGTTAGGTCGGGTACTTCTGGGGCCACCCCCGTAATTAACGATTTAAAAAAAAAAAAAATTTCTTTCTGATTTTAAATTTTCCATTATTCTGGTGGGTGGCAGCAGGAAAATTCCAAAATGTCGATTTTCCTGTGTATTTTCGAACCACCCGAATCAGCAAGCATACATATGTATGTATGTATGTATGTATACATGTACTGTAGTATGTATGTCTGCATAGATATGTACATGTGTGGTTAAGTCCTTGCCTGACAGTCTCAATTTCATTTCATTTGCGGACATGGCCATTTTGTTTCGAAACAACTTTTGTCATATTTCACATTAGTAATGTTTACAAGAGTCTTAAATGCTTATAACAGCTCATATCCTTGTACATTCAAGCGTTTATAGGTTGGCATGTTGGTGGTTATTTACTTATAATTTATACCTACTCAAACAATTACTCTTAACGAGCAAGGTAAATCGTTTCAAGGGTCAATTAGGAATTCTGCTTCAAAGTGCGTGCACCCGCTGAGGGTACTCGAGCTGCTTGTGAGCTTGTTACAGTAATTCACACTTATGCATCTATTTATTCCTGCCAGTAAAGGAGTATGAACGGTTGAGAGAATGGAAAAATAAACGAAAATGCTTCGCGAGCAAATCAACCCATTTGCTTAGACACTCATCGGACCTTAATCAGCGAAATTCTTTTGAGCAGTTAGAATTTTTTTGTTTTCACGAAATTAATTTCGCATAATTACCGCAAAGCTTTGAAGAAGCGGCGCCAAATAAATCGCAATACAACAATAATTGTTTGTGCCCAAATGACTCCACACTTGGCCGAAAATGAT